GAACCAAGAGAACGTTGTACACAATAACAGCCACGTTGTGTGATGAGAAATATTGATAAACTTAACCCTTCCTGGCAATACAAGGATCTAAGACATCTCCAAAGGCCTTGTGATGGAAAATGCTATCCACATCTAAAGAAAGAACCATGGAGTTTGAATGCAGATCTAAGCATACTATTTGCTATTTTATTTTTCTTCTGTTGAGCTTTGTTTCCTCTTTCTGGTGGTTCCTCCTATTGGTTCTAATCCTTACTTACAACATCACTAATGTGAAAATGTGATTAATAGGAATGTATTATGTATAGCCTATATCAGATTGTGCACCATCTTGGGGAGGGTGCTGGGGAGGGAGAGGGAGAAAAATCTTAAACTCAAAAGCATGTGGAAGTGATTGTGATAAATCAAAATAAATTAATTAAAAAAAAAAGACATCAAAAACTAAACAGGGAGCCACAGAGGCTTGGGCTGGGGCCTATTATTGGCCATTCAAAGATAGCCAGAGTAGGTTTAAAGGCTTTGTGTCAAGTAGCTCCAATTGAATCACAATGGTCTTTTAAAAAGCCTGTTTTTCTAGAGCTAGATTTCAAAAAATTTTCAAAGAAAACTGCACAGGACAAAAAGTAAATTGTCCCAATTTCTTAAAAATAAATACGGGAAAAATATTTTTTTTAAAAAAACCTAGCCTCCAAACCCCAAAATATCTTAGAAAATATAACTGACCAGAAATTGTTGTTGTTGTTGTTATTGTTGTTGTTTGTCCTTCACTCTTGAAGAGGCCCAATGAGGGTGATGTCTTGACTTTCAAGTGAATTGGATTTAAGTGAGGGAAAACTGCATAAAATCATCAGCCTTGGTCTTTCCTCCAGAGTTTTCGTGTGACATAAATCTAAGTTATAATGGAGATGTCCCAAATCTGTGAGACTTAATGATCAATGCCTACTTCTGATGATTCAGATAGGAACCTTCTAAAGAAATCTTGAAAATATTTTTAGAGATTACAAATCCTGGGTAAGAAACCAAAGGCCATAGGAGCAGAGGTAATATTTTCATCATTGCTTCTAATCAAAAAGTAGAGGATTCATGAGAGCAAAGTTGATTTAGGATGTGAACATCTGATTAACAGGAATGAATGGATTTATGGGTATCTCATTATTCAGGAGGGAGGGTTCTTGGGTAAGAATAGAATGTAGTAAAAATAAATATTTGCCTAAAGACTTGTGAAGCTGATCAAGAGGTCTTTAAATTCAAATGCCAGAGGTGATGAGAAAATTGACCATATATATCTGCCAAGCTAAATATCACAGAAAGTAGCTGATATGACATGAGAAGAAGATTATTCATGGAGGGGCCCAGTAATTCATAGGGAAGTAATAATGCCTCTTCCCATTTTCAAAAATGAAAAAAGAATAGAATCTACATACTATGAGCTAATCAGGTTGATTGAGAAAAGCATGATCTCAAATAAGGTAACAGCAAAAATAAACTTGATTAGAAGAAATAAATAGGAAAATTACATTATGCTTAAATACACTATAGGCAATTAATATCAATATGTATTAATATATGTACAGCAAAAGAAATAGCATCTAAATTCTTAAAGGAATAACTGAATGAATTATAAGGGAAAATAGAGAACAAATCTATAATGGGGGGAAGAGGGGAATCAATGTGCTTCTTTCAGATCTAGACAAATCCAACCAAAAATAAATATGAAAGTAGTTAGAAAGGGAAGGAGATTTTAGAAAAGTTAGAAATGCACCTTGAGACAGCTGGTTGAAACAGTGGAAAGTGCACTGGACCTGGAGTCAGGAAGACTTAAGTTAAATCAGATACTTACTACTTGTATGGTCCTGGGCAAGTCACTTTTAACTTTGCCTCAGTTTCCTCATCTGTAAAATGAGCTAGAGAAGGAAATGACAAACTATTCCAGTATTTTTGCCAAGAAAACCCCAAAATGGGGTCACAATAATTAGGCATGCCTGAAAATGACTGAACAACAGCAACAACATATGTCAGGTATTGTGCTAAGCACTAGTGATACAAAGAAAGGCAAAAGATAGTCCCTACCCTTGAGGAGCTCATAGTTTAATGGAGGAGACAACATGTAAATGGCTATGTACAGACAAATATAGACAAGATAAACTGGTGATATTTAATAGATGGAAGAAAAGAATTAAGGGGGATTAGGACATTCACATGGTCATTGTTACTTGAACTGCTATTGTATACTTAGGCTATTTATCTGAAATTACATACCTGTTGGGTCATATGGAATACGGTTCTCAAAATTTTTCCTCAGATAATTAGGTATTTGCTTCTTTTCTTCTTTTTGTTCCCTTTCATCTTTCTCTTCCTGGAAATCTGATTCTTCAGAAACCGTATACTCAATTACATGGTGTTCAGTAGAATCTGAAATGAAAATCTTACCAATTAAATATGTAGCATATAATATATATCTATTTATCATCCCACAAGCCAATAGCAAATTCTGAATTGGGATTCTTCTAAGAGTCCTCTATTCTTTTTTCCATTTAAAAAAATTTTCATGTAACAAGTGCTTTTTAAAAAGTTAATTCGTCTCTCCTAATACCCCCTCCCCATTAAGCAAAATTATTTTTTAAATCCCTCAATACATGTCTACATAATTTAGCAAAACAAATTCCTACTTTGGCCATGTCCAAAAGCGTATGACTTTTTTGGTATTTTTAAGTTCATTACCTCTCTGTCAAGAGGTAGGTGGCATGTTTCATCTTTATTCTTTTGGACCTGTGGTTTATCATTTTGTTGATCCGAGTTCTAAAGCCTTTCCTTTCCCAGATTTTCTCTATAATATTGATATTATTGTATAAATTGTTTTCCTAGTTCTGCTCACTTCAGTCTGCATTAGTTCCTCTGAAATTGTCCATTTCATCGTTTCTCATAGCACAGTAATATTCCACTATATTCAATATATCACAATTTGTTTAGCCATTCCCAAATAGAAGAAATAGTTCTCTATTCTGCTGATGTCTCTCCTCACTCCCCCGCTCCCCAGCCAATTACCATCATATTGGTTCACCAATCAAGGCCATAGATTGTAGGGTCAGGGATGGGATCCAAAATTTAGAACTGGAAGAGACCTCAGAAGTCACCTACTTTAAGCCCACTCATTTTCTAGATGAGCAAACTAAAGCCTAGGGAAGTTAAGCAAGCATAAGAGACAGTTATTTTAAAGACAGCATAGTTTAGCTTTAGAAATGGAGACATGATGAAAGAGATGGGGTTGATCAGGACTCACAATATAGAAAATAAGGCAACTCCTCCCACACAACAATGCCTCCATCTAAGCATTATTTCTCTGTCAAATTTACATTTCTAAAAACAAAGCATATTAGAAAATAATGAGGATGAAATAAGACCTGAAAAAGCAAAAATACGAAAATGGAATGGAAGAGAGAAATTAAATTTGGTGCTTTAGAAGATTTCTCTCCATAAGGGTTACATGGGTAATAATGAAGGAACAAATAAGGAATCATAAAATAAGAGTCAGAATTGACTTGAATAGAAGAAAAACCATGAGAACAGAGCAGAAGAAAACTCCTTGAAAAGAAAATGTGACTCAAAATGAGAGGCTCTACTAGAGACAGAGAAGGAAAATGCTGGACTTTACTCTTAACTGGGCTGGGAAAGAGGAGAGGGCAATACAGAAACAGACAACAACTTAAGTAAACTCAAAGAACTTGGAATAGGACAAGTAAATGAGATTGGGAGGGAGAACAGCGGGAACACACTAACATCAGTCCCTACAATTCCCATGGTCGCCACTTTGGTTAAGGCCCTTACCTCCACTCACTGAACTGCATAGAAAGAAAGATAATCTCCGTCCTCAAGTAGCTTACAATCTAACAGGGAAAGATAATAAAAGGGGGCATGACGTTCCATAGAGTTGAAACCAAAGCTGGCTGCTGGTAGAAAATTTAAAGTTATGATCCCAGCCCTCTTTAAAGGAATGCTTTGGAGTAAGTTTAGTGGCTCCATCCTTCAGTCCTCCATTCGGAGTGGATAGGCAACTAGGGGAGTTGGAAAGGGGTTGAGAATCAAAAATTGAATCAATCTCGATAAGACTTAGATGATCAGTTTATCCTGGGTGAGGCATGATGTTCACTGGAGATGAAACCAAGCAGAACTTGGAAATGGAAAACGGAGTCCGATTCAGCCAAAGGACTGATCTTGCCAGTTGAGCTCACTCCTCCATCCCTAGTGATGGGATAAAGTCTGACTTTATTCATAGGAACATGATTTAAGGCTCACTGAAAGAGGTACCAAAGAGACTCTTAAAGTACACAAGTACTTTATAAACCTGTTCTAAAGAATTTTCTGTAAAATATTTCAGACTATATTTAATTTATATCGCTCCCCTTTAAAAATCACGTAAAACTTCTTTCCATCATCATGAAATATTGCAGAAACTGACAAACCTGAAAATCGCACTTTACATACTGAACCGCTAGGAGTCACCACCTCAGACTTGGTAGTTATTGCAGAAGTTAAAGTCAAGTCTTCTTGTTGTGCTGTATCTGTTTCTGCAATTTCAGTGGGCTGACAAACCTCTAAAATCACTTTATTTAGATCTTCTCTCTTTTTAGATTTATGAATCCTAGAATAATGGAGAAAATAATGTTGGGGGTAATTAAATATTCAAAGATTTTTATTTATAATTAAAGACATAGCTTCTTTAAACTTAATGTACAATTAACTTTACTCCATATTATCTATAATTTGGAAAAATTAAAATAGATACCTAAACTGTCAAAACATAACTGTTAAGTTAAAATATATTTCATTATAGATCTCTTTGCTTCTAAATATTTGAGTAAAAATTTGAAAAGCACATATCAAATGCCAACAGAGGAATATTATCAAATTCTAAGCAGCTGTAAATGCTTTTAACTAAAGATTATTTTAATACTTTAACAATTATCATTGATTATTAGACAATTTACACTTGATAAAAATTTAAAGATTGATCTAGTTTAATCTCCTTATTTTTATGAATGAAGAAACTGGGAAACAAAAAGGTTAAATGACTTGGCAGTGGCAAATCTGGGCCCTAGAGCTCTGATCTCCCTAACTCCCAGGACCCTGTGCTTTTCCCACTAAATTATCCAGCCTTCCTAGGTGAAAAATAAAAACCAACAACAACAACAACAAAAAAAAAACCAACCAAACAAGACATGAATAGAACTCAAAACTTAACATTATTGGCTGCAAGCTAAATGGTTAACCTTTACTTAGCTATTAAAGATATATATTCAACAAGACGTAGGATCACTACATGTACTTTTTATCCAAGACACTAAAGGTGTTACCAAGGTAGAAAAATTCAGGGTCTGCTCAAGATCATCCCAATACAAGTTAGCAAAGGAAGAGGTTTCTATTGAAAGAATACACTGAAATATTTTAAAGACATTGATTAAAAAAACCACAACTTTTTTTCAATTCAATGAGACAGGAAATATAACTTATGTACAGAGTTAGAATCAGATGGCTTTGCTCTTGCTTATGTGCCTTCTCTCACTGCTACCAAGTCTACTATGGGGAAGCTATATTCATTTGGAAATTCTCTCTTTATATTGAACTAAAATCTACTTTTAGGAATTTTTACCCATTGAGTCTAGTCCACCTTAATGAAGGGGGAAGGGAAAAAGCATTTATGTAGCACCTATTATGTGCCAGATACTGTGCTAAGCATGTTTACAAATATTATCTAATTTGATCCTCACAACAACCCTGGTAGGTAAGTGCTATTATTATTCCATTTTACAGGTGAGGAAACTGAGTCAAACAGAGTTTAAGTTACTTCCTCAGGGTCACACAGCTACTAAGCATCTAAGCCTAGATTTGAACCTGGGTCTTTTGGACTCCAGGCCCAATACTCTATCTACTGTGCCTCCAGATACCTCAATTGCCTTATGGAATACCAAAGGAACAAATTTTTCCTCGATTAAAACACTTCAATTATTTGAAGACATACATCTGTGACACTTTCCCCTAGTCTCTTCTTCGGCAGGATAAACATGTCCAATTCCTTTAAACATTTCTCACATCACATGACTTTCCATTTATGCAATAAATATTTAATAAGCAGCTATTATGGTTCAAGGCTATTTGGGAATCTCAGAAGGTAGAGCTACCAAGAGTAATGTTGTTGGTCCTTTGTTCTCAAAGAGCACCAATGATATCATAAGTGTGATATCTTGACTTGCACATGAATCGGATACAGTTCTTAAGATAACATTGTTGTTTTTGTACACAAGGTTCTCTTGGTTCTGCTCACATCACTCTTCATTATTTCGTGCAAGTCTATCCATGTTTTTCCAAGATCAAGTTCACCATTTCTTAAAGCATAGAAGTATTCCATCACAATCATATACCATGTATATCCTGTTTAACTAAACTCCTTAACTTCATAATTCCTAAGCCCTTTTAAATTCCACAACTGAATCCTTCACTCCCCTTCAGCCACACAGAGGGATGGTCACAAATTAGATCTCACCATTACCCATGAATGTTCAATTTCCCTAAATAAAAACTCTGATATTCTCCTCTCTGACCATGATCTCTTACATCATTCCACTTCTCCCTATGTGCTTCACCCCTCCTACACCTGAGCATAAGTTACCCTCATCAAGACTCAATTCCCTCCACCCCTCAGAAAGTACTTGATCTCGTCCCTCTCATCTTTTCCCCTCTCACAGACGGCATCCACAAACATCTACCTTCTCTCCTGAATCCTCAATCTTTTCTCATCATCTGGTTCATTGTTTATTGCCTTCAAACAGGCCTAAGTCTCATCTGTCCTTAAAAAAAAAAACAAACAAAAAATCTTCCCTTGACCCTATCTCTACTCAATCTATATTTCTCTTAATTTTCTCAGCCAAACACTTTGAAAAAGTTATCTCTACTCATTTTTTCACTTCTTCTTCTTTCACTCACTTCTCAACCTTTTTGCAATCTTGGCTTCTGATATTGTCACGCAACTGAAACTGATCCCTCCAAAAGTCACCAATGTTCTCTTATTCGCTAAATCTGATGGTCTTTTGCCAGTTCTCAGCCTTTGTGACCTATCTCCTGCTGGCCACCCTAGATACTTTCACCTTTCTGAGTTGTTGTGACACTATTCTCTCTTGATTGACTTCTACCAGTTTGATCACACTCAGCCTCCTTTGCTGGCTCATCATCCACGTCTGCCCCCTAACTCACAGTGTTCCCCAAGATTCAATCCTAGTCCTTCTTCTTTTCTCCCTGCAAATTCTTGGTAAATTCATCACATTTCATGCAGATAACTCCCAGATCTATACATCTAGCCTCAGTCTTTGCCTTGAGTTTCAATTCCCCATCACCAAATGCCTATTGGAAATTTCAAAATGGGTGTGCCAGAGACATCTTAAACTCAACAGATCCAAAATGGAAGTCATTATCATTTCCCCTAAAAGATCCCCTCTTCCAAATTTCCCTATTCCTGTGAAAGACATCCATCATCATTCCAGTCTCCCAGGAATTAGTTTGGATTCCTCACTCTTCCTTGCACCACCTATGTTGCCAGATCTTGCCATTTCTAGCTTCACAGTAGCTCTTGAATCCAAACTCTTCTCTCCACTTATAGAGCTACCACTTTAGCTAGGCCCTCATCATCTCTTATCTATATTATTTCAATAACTTTCTAGATAGTTTCCTTACATCAAGTCTCTCCATATCCCACTTCATCCTGCACATTCCTGCCAGAATAGTTTTCCTTGAGTGTAGATCTGACCACATGACTCCATTTTTTAACCACCTCCAGTGACTTCCTATTGCCTCTAAGACAAAATATGAACTCAGTTTAGCTTTTAAAAGTCCTATACAACTCAGCCCCAACCTACCTTTCTAACCTCATTCGACATTACTCCTCTTCCCATACTTTGAGATCCTGCCAAGTTGACCTCTCTCTAGTGTTCAAACAGAACACTCACTCTTCCATATACATGCCTTTCAAATGACTACCCCACATGCCTGGCATGCACTGCCTCCTTATCTCCACCTTAAAGTCTCTTTCTTCCTTTAAGATAGAGTTCAAGCACTATCTTCTTCATGAAGCCTTTCTTGATTCTCCTAACCTCTAATACTTTCCCTCCTATATTACCTTATGTTTAACTATTTGAATTTCAGTTTTTACAAATATTTACAAATATGTTATATTTAAGTATTTGTAACTATTTAACAAATATATCACATATAAACAATTATTTAACAATTTGCTAATATATTAACAAATATATTTATATTTATAAGCTTTATATTTATAATATATTTTAATGTACTTCTTGTCTCTACCATTAAAATACAAGTTACTTGCAAGTAGGGATTCTGCCTTTACAATATTTCTTGTATCCTTCTGTTCACTCACATAGTCATCACCTTAGATTAGGTCTTTAGCACCTTATGGGAATTATTTTATTCTTTGTACTTCTATCCCTAGGACACAGCACAGTGCTTGGCACACAGTAGGCATTTAATGCTCATTGATGGATAGCACAGATCAAAAGTCAAAGAAGTTGATGAGGGGCAGCTAGGTGGCGCAGTGGATAGAGCACCAGCCCTGGAGTCAGGAGGACCTGAGTTCAAATCTGGCCTCAAACCAAACACTTGACACTTACTAGCTGTGTGACCCTGGGGAAGTCACTTAACCCCAATTGCCTAAAAAAAAATAAAAATAATAATAAAAAAAGAAGTTGATGAACTAGAAGGCTATGGTATTTGAGGAGACATCAATGAGTATAATGAAGTCCTGAAATTAAAGGTCAGGCATTGCAGATGAGAGGAAGACTATGAGCTAAGTACTGAACTCCTCAAGAAAGGAGGAAGGATGAACTACAGTCTGGTATATGAGAATAACTAGGATCTGGATCAGGTGAAATTAATTAATTAATTAATTTAAAAGCATTTTATAGCACTTACTATGTACCAAGCCCTGTGCTAAGTGCTGGGGATATAAATAGAAAAAGTGATACAATCTCTCAAGGAGATCACACTCTAATTGGAATGTGACACATAAAAGAAAAGCCAGCTGTAGAACAAATGAAAAAACCCAATAGTCCTGAGAGCATAGAAGTAAGGCAAAAGGAAAAGTCTTTGTATCCTTTGATTATATCAGTAGGTCATATGACAGTGCCCTGGGTCTGCAGAGTGCAGAGAGAAGGTAGATGGTAAATTTTTCATCTCACCAGAAAGAAAAGAGTATGTGTCTCCCATTTCATTCAAGCCATGTAAATAGTCAAGCAGCCTGAAGAGTGACTTGGGCAAGGGAAGAGAGTAAGGGGAAGACAAGAGGAGAGTAGAACCAAAAACTAAAAGTAGGATAGATTGCTAAACATCAGTGACAAAGAGACTGAACTGAAGTAGCAATGGGGATTGAGGAGTGTATCACCTCCTCTTTCTCCTGGCCTGGTGCATCAAGGACATGTAAAAGGCAGCACCTCATCTTGGAAAGTGTGAATAAGGATGCAGTGACGGCTGGAGAGAATAATGGCGAGGTTTCCATTAGAGCAGACTGATAAAAAGAGTATACATATTTAAGACAAAATGTTGATACTCAGGTCAAAGGAGATAAGGATACAAAAAGGCACAATAGAATATGAGGGCAGAAAAGGATGTGGACTATGGAGAGAAAGGGCTGAGGTGAATGAGAGGTAGAAAGAAGAAAGGATGTTCCCTTCAGAAGATGGATT